AAGGGAGGGTCGGTTGCAAGAAGCAGAAACTGAGTTTGAATTGGCCAAAGCACTTGAGGCCCAGTTGGATGAGTTGGGTAATCATTCCTCAAAATCTTCTGCCAGTGTGCCAGAAATGGTTGACGTAGTTATTGAAGATCTTCTGGATCCTCAACTTTTGTCTGCTCTGAAGGCGATTGGATTAGATGAGGCTAATATGATATCACAAAGCCCAGAAAAACCAGCAGCTGGGAAACCTGAACCTGTTACGAGAGGAGACTGTAGCCAAGAGAGAATCCAATTGGAAGAGCGGATCAAGGCTGAGAAGGTAAAGGCAGTGAACTTGAAACGTTCCGGAAAACAAGCTGAGGCATTGGATGCTCTTCGACGGGCCAAATTGTACGAAAAGAAACTGAATTTGCTGGGTTATACTTGAAGATGGAAAATATTCCTAGTACAGGCCTGGAACAAGATGGTAGGGGGATATTGGAGATTGGGTGATTTAATTACTATTATCTGGTGTTGGTCCATTGGAATTTATCTCTGTAATGTATGGTATTTAAGGAAATGTCATAAAGTTGATGTCTTGATTCAAAATATATACATGGAGGACGACATTTTACTTTATTTTGTTTACAGATGATGGTTGATGATGCGTGTGCTATTCAAAGAACAATCAATTTTGAGCTTGACCTTGGTGTTGGAGTCCTTCCAAAGTTAGCAGGCTCTATTTGTAAAAGAAGTATTCTGTTCAGCAATTTTATATATTCACTTCAATATGAAAAACGTGTCTTCGATTTATTTCTGAAACTCCTTGATAAAAGATAGCGACAATCTTATTCTTTGGCTTTGAGGACAGGTGAAATTAAATTGGTCGACCGTATATATTCACAGGTAGGCGGTAGTTCAAGAATGATGAGTTATTGGAAAGGAAGGCACAAAAGGGATAGAAGTTATAGATGCAATCATAACTAAGTCTTACGTTCTTCTTCACAACGCTCATTATCAACACTATATCTACTGATGAAAAATACGTCATCCTAATGATTCATTACAACATCATCGCTACTAGGAAACCCTATAAGAATTAGCAAATAATATTTACTTGTTGATCATAATTTATATGGATGCAGCTTTTCAGAAAGTTAAACATGGGATACACAGGACAGCTAGCTTATTATGTAAAGAAGGTTTCTCAGATAATTCTTTTTCTTCTAGTTTGTTTTTGTACTCTTTGTTGTGTGTGATTTAATATTACAATTTCAATCCATGCCTGTTACAGTGTGTTGGCATCGAGGCAAAAACCAGAACTAGTGGCCTTAACTATTCACTTGCTACTAACTGGGACCAAGCAAATGTAGCACGGGTTTGAGTTGTTATTTCTTGTTCCTCTTGTGTTAATATGAATGTTGCCTCTTCTCTCGCAGTTCCTACTTTGTTACAGCTTCCTGAGTCAACCCTTAAAATCCCACGAGTCCACCATAGCTGAGGTTAGCCCTCACCACACTGACAAAGAACACTCTGGTCTGCAAACTTGGCCAAGCAGGGGCTTTCCAGGTGCACCACTGGGGAGCCAGCTTGGTCAAGACTGTAGGATCTCACAGTCTCTGTGAAGATACCGTCTGGTACGCCTTGGCCTTGAAGGAGGTCTTGAATGGAAGAGGTAACTGTAAGGGGAAGGGGGAGAAGCAAAAGACAGGTTGGAGAGAGAGGAAGGTGACGGGGAGAGAGGCATGCTTGAGGCGTTAGAGGACAGATACTAGTTTTTGTTTCTGAGATTTTGCTAAGAGAGAGTTTTAAAAAGTGGGACCCAGTCAAGACATGTCCAAACTATGAGCTTGCAGTTCTTATTCCCCAAATTTCCTATTCCCCAAATTACCCAATGTCCTTAATTTTATCATTGATTTAAATTCATATAAGTTACTAAAAAATATAATTCTATAATACACACAGTTTAGGAATTTTATTTAAAAAGCTCCATTTGAAAAGTATATGTTATTGAAGTCAATTGCAAATAATCAGAGTAATTAGTAGAATTAGATATTGAAATTTAGTGTTAGTAAATAATTATATAGGTTAAAAGGTAGATTAAATACCATATTGAGTAAATTAAATAGGGTTTAGTTTACATGCTATTATTTGTGTTCTCATTGATGTTCAGGACGATGGTAATGCAATATCTATGAATTAGAATAATTGAATACTATTAAATATTTTGACAAGTCAAATAGGTGAAATGAAAAATCATATAAATATTATTATATTAATTATTTATTGACTGAATGTGTAATATTTATCTATTTATTTAAAATTATAAATTTAAATTAAATTATTCTAATCATTTTTTAACTCAATTTATATTATATAGTTTTAGTTTATCTTAAATAATAGTTAAACATCGACATATTTAGTATTTATTTTTAACTTAAAAAAATATTATGCTTCCCATTTTAGGAATGCTCAACAAACATTATCATCAAGATTCCCTTTCTTTAAAATGTTACCCTTGTGAGCACCAACTATATATAATATATGGTATAACCAACAACAACCTTAAAAACCGTATGAAATGGAATTTGTAGGCTCTATCACTGCTAATTTACCCATAAAAGAAGTCCATAGTAGCATTAAGGGAAGAATAGGAAGAAGAATGGCGGAAGTTGATGATACAACCTTCAAATCCAAGAACCTTCATGCGGAGAGGAGGAGGAGGGAGAAGCTCAGTGACAGACTCTTGACACTACGAGCATCAGTCCCAATTATCACAAATGCAATTACCTATCTGAAACCATATTGTTACTTTTTCTTTATATAATTTTCTGACTACAATTTCTTTTTGGTGTTCCAGATGAATAAAGCAACTATTATAGAGGATGCAATCACATACATTGAGATTTTGCAGAGGAATGTGAAAGATCTTAGTGAGGAACTTCTTGAAATTGAGGCATTATCATCAGAAGAGGACCCCAAACCCGAGATTAATGCTGGGGAGGAAATGAAGAAATGGGTGGTGAAGGTTGTGATCACGAACCCGGATTTCTAATTCTGATATGCTTTGTCCTTGTTCTAAGCTGATTATTCTTTGTAGGAAGATGTTAAGGTAACCAATATGGATGGCAATAAGTTATGGATAAAGATACTCTTGGAGAAGAGAAGAGGTCGGTTTACCAAATTGGTGGAGGCCATGAATTTCCTTGGTTATGAATTCACTGACATACATGTTACCAGTTTCAGGGGAGCAATTTTGATCTCCTGTTGTGTAGAGGTACCATTTTCACGTAGATTCAACTATAAACTATCTCTTATACTACTAGGAGATGATCATATCAAAAGTATGTGTGCAGGTTTGGCTACCAGAAAATAAGTGTTGTCCATCGCATTTTCTAATTAGTTTTCCTTATTCTGTTTGGTTTCAGGGAAATTATGGTGACATGCTCACAGCTGACCAAGCTAGTGATTTGCTGCTGGAGATCATTGCAAGCGTATAAGCTCCATCATCGAAGTGCATAAGCACCAGCCAACATTTCTGAGTTTCTTCTATTCTGTTCTCTGTTTGATGTGATTCTAGTCTTACTAGTCAAAACTCAAATGTGGATGGACAACATTTATATATCACGAGTATCTACTTCACCGCATATTTTTCTTCTTCAAGTAAACAAAAGAAAAGACAAAAACTATAGATAAAAATTGATCTTTTAGATTCAGGAATGTCATCCCATCTGCGAACTGGAAATCCCATCTTGTTCCTCACAAGCTTCTTGAACACCAAATCATGAAACTCCACATTTATTTTCTGTATAAGCTGAAAGTGACTCGTCAAAACTTTTCAAAAAGAAAGAAAGAGAAGTTGATATCAGGAAAAAAAACAGAAAAAATCAGTAGCTTTTTCTCTGTCTGGTTAGTCAGAGAAATGTAAGAAGTCCTTCACAAACAGTCTAGCTTTAGATTCTGTTTACTCCACAGGTAATTGAACAAGAAACTCTCATCACCCCGAACAAAAAATTTAAAGAAAAAATGTCATTTTCCCTCTTGAATTTCTTCCTCGCCAACAAAGATCGATTTGAAAAGAAATACAGAAGATACCCAATTAGTTCCACAAATACCGAGGGCTAAAAATAAACCTTCCAAAAAAAAATCAGCAAAATCAATAGGAACACTCTGGTCTCAAACTTGGCCAAGCAGGGGCGGTCCAGGTTCACCTCTAGGCACCCAGCCTCGTCAAGACTGTAGGATCTCGCAGTCTTCAGGAAGATACCGCCTGGTAGGCCTTGGCTTTGAAGGTGGTCTTGAATGGAGGGGGCAACTGTAACGGGAAGGAGGAGAAGACATGGGTTGAAGAGAGAGAAAGTTGACAGAGAGAGACACAGATGACGGTGGGAGTAAAGTTGTAACAGTATTATGTTTTAATGGTTTAGTATTATAACGTTCTGGAATAACGTAGTAAAAAATTGTAAATTATATTTTTTATTTAAATAACTGAAAAAATATAACTCATTACATACATGCAGCTTTGAAATTTTACATTAAAGAAACTCTATTAAAAAATAGCATATTTTATTATAGTCAATTGCAAATGATCTGATTAATTAGTACAATCAAACACCAAATTAACATTGGTTAATGCTATAAATACATGAGTTCAAAATTATATTGGTTGAAAGGTTAACCATATATTATACTGATTAAATTAAATAAAATCTGATTTACATATATTTATTTTTTTATTTATGTTTGTAAGAATGTAAATGTTGTGTAAATTAAGATAATTTCATTAGCAAGAACTAATAATAATGATTTTAAGTTAAATTAATGCACAACCGATTAAAATTAATAAATAGATAATAATCTCAAATTAAATAAATACAAAATTTTGCGTATAAAATCATTCACTATGAAAGAAAAAATTACGGATCAAATTTTAAATTAAATCTGCTATCAACAAAAATAAGTACAAGATAATCTAACAAGAATTAAATCCTGAGCAAAAATAACAACCTAATTTTGTGCTGAACTTGAAGAAAGAAAGAAATTAAATTAAATTAAACTTCCGTGAGAAAAGATGAAATAGCTAACGTAGACTATGATTTCACCAATGAGAAAGAATGACAAACTCTTTTTTTCTTTTCTCTTGGCAGCCACTCAACCTCTATATATATATATATTGTATTTATATATATCCCTTCCTTTTCTCTTCTCTTTTTTCTCTTTATTTTCTGCATAACCACTCTCTTTCTCTCCTTTTCTCTTCTCTTTTTTCTCTCTTTATTTTCTGCATAACCACTCTCTTTCTCTCTATCTCTCTGCATCCTTTTTTTTCGTGCAACATATATATATATATATAAGCATATATATATATAAGCTACAGCCCTAATTTCCTTTTTTTTTTCTTTTAAATTACTAATTTACCTTTTTTTTATTAGGTTAAATCTTAACAATCTCTCCTTCCAACCCATGGTAGGTATCCACTCATCTATTACTCAATTTTTACTTAATCCTTCTGTCTTGGTGCAGGATTGATGCTTGTCAAGAATTTTGGTCACCACGTTAACTAGATCGGTCTTATCTTCTTCAAAGAACTCATCTTCTACTTTATTGCATTTATCTATGATTCTGCATTTATTGAAAGCTCTATGGCTCTCCCTCTTCAATAACTATAATATACTTAGAACTTGAATATTTGGTGAAAAAAGGATGTGTTCTACTTGACCTTTTAACCTGAAATTCTTCAAGGAGGGGGCTATTCTCCCTACTCAATATCATCATTTACATATACTGGTGCTGACACATAATCACTTCTATCTCCTTTATTACGAACATTTCTGATTGTATGAGGAATTAATGCAGGAAAATGAATCTCTTTACTTGTAGTCTTCTTAAATATTTCAAAATCTAATAGAGTTTTGTGTTCAACAAAGATTACATCTCTCGACTTGATATTTTCTTCTTCACTAGATTTCATAATCTGTACTCAAACTCTGTATCTATATAACATAAAAAAATATATAAAATTATCATGTCATCAAGTTTCTGTCTCTACTCTTTAGGTACATGCATAAATACATCTAAGACAAAAACTTTCAAATGAGAATAATTTACATCTTTCTCGGACTATATTCTTTGAGAAATATCAAAATCTAAAGGAGCTTAGGGACATCGATTCATCAAGTAACATGTAGTGTAGAGTGTTTCAACCCAAAATAGTTTTAGTAGTTTAACCATTTTTAGCAAACATCTGACCTTCTCTAGGATGGTTTTATTTGTTCTTTTAACAACACAATTATGTTAAGGAGTACCTAGAACAGTCGTTTCATATTTGATTCCGTATTGTAAACAGTAATTCTTAAATACTTTAAAGTATATTCGCCAGCATTATCACTACGAAGACACTTTAAAAGTATTTTTTTTCTTTTTCTACTATAACATAGAATAAATACCCAAGCTTTTCATAAAATATCATCACTAAATATAATAAAATATCTATTACTATCTAATGATTCCACATCAATGGGATCACATACATCAGAATATATTAACATAAGTATATTCATTTTTCTTCTAGAAGAATTGCTAAAAGAAATTATATGTTGCTTACCATATGAATAATCATCACAAGAATTTAAATTCGTACCTTTAACAAAGCAAATGAAAGATTTATTTGCTAGAATCTGCAATTCTTTCTAATTCATATGAGCCAACTTTTTATGCCACAAATCTGGCGAAACATCTTTTTCTGCTGCATTCAGAGTATCTCTAATTGTTTTCACTTGATTCTTGTACAGTTTGTGACACAATATATCACTTGCAACCACAATTGAACCTTTGATGAGTTTCTATTTTCTACCACCAAATGAGTTATAATAACTATGAAGATCCAGAGCATGTGTAGAAATCAGATTTAGGCGTAAATCAGGCACGTATAACATATTTTTCAAAGTCAATGTGCAACCAATATCTGTCTGTACAAAAATATCACTAGTACCCATAATATCTACATAACTGATATTACTCATTTTTACTCTGCCAAAGTTTCCTACTTTATACATAGTAAAAGCATCCCTCTTGGGTATAACTAGTAGGATGCTGTTGAATCAACAACCCACTCAGTGTCAAGATCAATAACATGATCATGATCCTCAATAAAAAAAAGTACAACTAGTTATTCATTATCAGTTACAGTTGTTGTGGTATTCTGATCATTTACCTTTTTCTTATTATTCTGTTCCCTTTTTCAAATTCTGCAGTTTTGTTTGAGATGTTATTTCTCGCCATAATGATAACAATTGAATTTGTCTTTATTGCATTTTTTAGGATATCTGCTTTTACTTCTATTTTTGCTCTCTATGACAAGAGCTTGTGAGGTTTCAATGCTCATATCATTCCTTATGATCTCCTTATTATAAATATTATTCATTACCATAGATGAAGACAAAACACCATATAGAACACCACTAAGGTTTCTCAACTATTCGGTAACGAACTCAAAAGTAATAATATATGCATTTCATCATACAAGGTTAATTTCATAATATTCAATTGATTTGTCAAATTTTGGAACTCACTCAAGTGTTCTACTATTGACTGTTTATCTTGCAGTTTCAGATTCACCAACTTTCTGATAATAAAAATTTTATTTTGGGCATTTTTTCTCTCGCACATATTCTCTAATTTTTTTTCACAAATCTTGTGCATTAACTTCTTTGCTTATATAATGATGGATACTAATATCTATCCACTGTCAAATAGTTCCAATAGTTTTTATGTATATTTTCTCCCAATTGTCTTCTAATTTTCCAACTAGCTTTGTAGTTCCTAATTTAATAGGATCATACATATCTCTACAATAAAGAGGATTCTCTATCTTCGTCTTCCAAATCGAATAATTTAAAGCTGTCAGTTTAATCATAGTATATGCATATTTGTTTATCCTAATTTATACAATTAATTCTACACCACATATCAACTAGGCTATGATACTACTTGTTGGGTTCCGAACAGAAATATAATTAATTGTGTAAATTAAGACAATCCTAAATTAATTAGTATGAACTAATAATAATAATTTCAAGCTAAATTGATACACAACCGAACAAAATTAATAAGCAGATAATAATTTTAAAATTAAATAGATACAAGATTTTATGTAAATAATTCTTTAGTGGGAAAAAAGAAAAAAACCAAGGGTCAAACTCTGAATCAAATTTGTGTGTATATTATTTTATTATTAATATGTATAAATTTATCGTTAATCTATTTAATTACTTTCATAAAAATTTCAGTAATAAAAGATGAGGGAAAATTATGACATGCTTTCTAAAAAATAAACTAATTGTTATTTAATTATGAATTAAAGAGAAATTATATTTGTATTTTATATAAAACATATACAGTACTTTATAATTTAGTATAGATTATTAGGTATTTATGTAATTATAAAAAGAGTTAGACTCAGTTTAATTATTATCGCTCCCTATCAATGAAGGTATATATTAAAATATAATATTAGAAATATGTTCTTTTTAAATTTCGATACAGATATGGATGTATCATCTAAATCATATAAATTAAATATAATTCTGTGTTTGATACAATAACATATGTAAAAATTATACTACAAGAATTAAATATAGTTTTGGATATTATTATATAGATATAATGTGGTCATATCTTTTAGAGATTGTATGACTTTTATCTGAAATTTGGCATGAGCTAATGTGTTTATATTAAATGTTAATTAAAGATGTTTTAAAATTACTCTGTTGATAAAGTTTCCTTGCTAATGTGTTTATATTATCATTGTTCAAATATGTTTGATCCAATTAAATCTTTGATTTTTTTTTTAATTTACTAAGTTTAAAGTTCGCTATATTATTTGTATTTATAAATTTTGAAAAATAATGTATATATGAAAAAATTAGAATTTAGTATAATTTTTTATGTAGAGAATTAAAATATAATATTTGAATTTAGTATTTGGGTTAAATTATTTTATGTAAGGAATTTAATTTTTTTTTTTTTGGGTTTTGAGGTAAATTTTCAATTTGAATGACTTATTGATTATCAATTTTTAACACATATTTTAGTTAAATTTAAAATTTGTTTTAGATATTATGTATTTATAGAATTTTTTTTAGGTGTACAACGTTATAATGCATCTAATTCTAGGTTTAGAACATCACATAAACAGTTAACATAGGAAGAATTTTAGAAAAAATAATTATTAAAATTAAATTATATATAAGTACAATATGGATTTTAAAATCCTAACTTGTGAACTATAAGCAAGTTTCAAAATATCTTGAGAATTTTAATTAATATATCTCTTCTTTTATAAAAAATTATAATTTAAAATTTATATTTATATTTAATAAATTAAAATATAGGCTGTTGTTCATGAAGTTTCTTGAATGACTAATTCATAATAATACATTGTAAAAATAAATCAGATTGATTTATATTATTATAAAATTATCTAACTTTACATGATTAGTATAAGATATAATAGACATTAAAGCATAAAATATTTCAACTAATTAATTGAGAAAATTTGAAAACTCATAAAGAGTAAATTTATTGAATTTATATATATGTATATATATTCTAGTTGAAGTACATAGTAATTCGAAATATAACTGAAATTGCAAAAATATTTAAGATAGTTTAATAGAGGAGAAGCTTTTCTGAAGCAGCAGAAGAAAAGCCGCAAGAGCGACCTTTCTCCTTCACAAAGTCTTCTTTCCGAAAGTAAGAACAAACTTCTTTCTTGTTATTCCTCCAGAGTTTTTTCGGCAGATGAGAAGAGTGTGTCATGTCGTCAGGCAACTCAACCCGGAACTTAACAACAAATCTAATGAAAGGGCCAAAGAATCCTCAGACTCATTCAACATGTCTCTGGACTCTAGATTCTCGTTACAGAAAAATAACCAAGAGACATATCATCATGTTGGCGCTGAAATCAACTTACTACTTTTTAATAATTGTATGCGACATATGATCATGCTAAAATGAACATGATTCTTGAATTCAGATAAGAACATGACCAATATATGCGGGTGAAGTTTTGGTGTTCCACATATGATTTCTCTCTTTATTTTACCTTCTGATTACCTAATAATGTTGGCCATCGAAAATAAATCTGTTGAATTCATTTCTCTTTCTGTTTTAGTTTTTAATTACATGGTGAGATGGTTATGGAAATAGAATTTTGAAGTGGGGATATTACTATTTCCAGTATGCTTATAATTTGTTTGAAACAATTCCTCAAAGAAAAAAAAAAGTGATTGAAAGTTCGATCTAGTAGAAGGTACTCTCTTTGCGTTTTTTGTCTATGTATCATCTGTCAGATAAATAAGCGAAGCACAAGCCAATATGAGCACATAGTTATACTAAATCAAATGTTATTGCTACAAACTTCAGAATACCTTGAATTTCTGGTCATACTCAACCTACTAATAACAATCATGATAAGTCCTCTGGGAGCCAGAGCTTGTCTCAACACAATCACCTTCATCCCACCTTTACTGGTATGGATCATAAGAACTACCAAAGAGATAATCTGCAGCTCCATTCCAGATGCAGTCTTCATAGTCAAGACTTTCTTGATGGTTTATGCAACTCTTATACTGCGACAAGCAAGGAAAGTACCCAAACAAGCTCTCACAAATGTCTATTGCTTCCAGGTCATACCCTGCTGGAACAATTTCAGGCACTTCTTTATAGTAATCACAATTACCTTGGCACAATCCAGGCTGGTCATTATGGCAATCGTTGTCTGCTTTTAACTCAGAAGGCTTATTTTTTTCTGAGCTAATACTACCATTTTTATTCTGAGACTGCTTTTCAGGTTTATTATCAGGGATCAGTTTGGTTCCATCTAGAGGTTTTCCAGCAGAATCACTGGCCTCAGCTTGGTCTTTGCCATAAGGTGATTCAATGGAATCATAAGAGAAATCATCTGAGGAATCAGTAGGATCCATCAATGAAGGTGGATAACATATTCCAGTTGAAGGAGGCAGAGGCTTGCCATAAGTTGCAGCAAGATCAAAGCCACCGTCATAAGGTGTTGGATCATATTCTTGAAAATCTGGCTGATTAAACTCTTGGATTGAGAAAAAGATGGTAAACGGATTTTGGTTTTGAGTATTATTGAAGGAAACTGGGTGATACGCCACATGTTTCGATTCCCTGGACGTAGATAACGAGTATCTAGCCTTGGATATTGTCATGGCAGGATCATAAACACCAGAATAAGGAGTTGGATCAGACTGAAAGAAATCATTGTCACTGAAATCATAGCTAGAATACACAGTCAAGGCTTGTGATGGAGCAGTTTCATATTTACCAGCATAAGTTGTCAGAAGATGATGATGCTCATGATCAAGATAATTATTGTCGTAGTAGCCAGAGCTGTAGTAGTAAGCCATCGTTAATCCTTACTTCAAATCAATTGTGTTCCCTGTTAAAAGCAAGCAAATTGCTAGAGAAAATCAAAGCAGGTGAAATTTTTATACCATCAGAAAGTGGGTTAGCAAACGAGATCCATTAACTCTGGCTACCGATAAGGATGTTGTCTCTATCACACAGAGACTATCTATCTACTAACCAAGTTTCTCTTTTTCTTTTCTTAATGTCATATGTGATGTTTTGCAGCCAACAACAAGCAGTGGTCCATCCCTATTTAGTCCGAATGCGAATGAAAGACAAAAACTTCAATATTCACATTGATTGAAAACATCACTTTTTCCATATCACCTAAATTTCTAGTGGGCTTTAATAGAATTGACAGGAAAAGAATCCCAACAAATTAATTTTCTTTTACTAATTGGTTCTATTTGTACATGCACTATTTTACACATTAAAAGGCACCTAGTTGGAATTTCATTTCTATTTTTTGAAACAGCAACAAGGAGGCTTATAATTGTATCACATTTTGAACTCGTACAGTTTATCATGCGCTGCTGAATCACATGGATTTAAGGGAAGAAGATGAAGTTTTTGTGTAAAAGCAGATTGTTTGTGCATGTGTTGTAATGAATTGTTGTTTATTTACTAAAAGAATTGTTTATGGTTCGGTTTCAGCAAAATGGGTTCTAAGAGTTGTATTACTCTAGTAATGGGTTGGTTTTCGTCGAATGTTAAGAAAGAAACGATTGTTTAAGAAATAGATTTTTCTTTTCGGAACACGACATATCGGAGCCGAAAGTAACAGGATAGGAAAGAAAATTTAAAAAAAAAACAAAACAAAACAAAAGACAGAAGTCAAGGCAATTTCCTTATCCAGACAAGATTCCGGTTTTCTCAGTGAAAAAATCTTCACGTGTACACCGAACACCGACGTCTAAGCTGTGGCTGAGCTGAGACTTGTCTCTCCCTCTCATATGCACTTCAAAGTTTCTTTTCGCCACCTTTGTCTCTGTACACAAAACCCCTACTAAAATCCCATCACCACCAGAACAAAAGAAACAGAAACCTGAGAACGAAATACGGAATCCATTCAACTGATCATGACGCCACCCAGAAGTACATCGGAATCGGCCCGAAAAGCGACAGCCATAACTGTCCAGCCATCATCCCCGAGATTTCCTATGTCTTCGTCGACATCAACTGCCGTGGGGGAGACCTTGAGGGCTGGGGCTCACCGGAGGATCGGGATAGCGGTTGATTTGAGCGACGAGAGCGCGTTCGCCGTCCAATGGGCGGTGCAGAACTACCTGCGGCCTGGGGACGCCGTGATCCTTGTCCACGTGCGACCCACCAGCGTCCTCTATGGCGCCGACTGGGGAGCAATGGACCTTGCCTTGCACGACCCAGAGAGCGAAGAGTCCCAACAGAAGCTTGAAGATGACTTCGATCTCCTCACCAACACAAAGGCCAATGACATTGCTCAGCCTCTTGTGGAGGCCCAAATTCCCTTCAAAATCCACATAGTGAAGGACCACGATATGAAGGAGAGGCTGTGTCTGGAGGTGGAGCGGCTCGGCCTCAGCACCGTGATAATGGGGAGCAGAGGATTTGGAGCCACTAGGAGGAGCAGCAAGAGCAGGCTGGGGAGCGTTAGCGATTATTGCGTGCATCACTGCGTCTGTCCTGTAGTTGTCGTTAGGTTCTCCGAGGAAAAAGATGGAGGAGGATCAAAGGGTCCTAGTCCTGTAGCCGCGAAAACCGCAGCAGCGGGAGATAAGGAGGGGCACCTGCTGTGTCCCTTGGTAGAGATAGTGGAAGAGGAGGAGCCCCTGCATGAATATCGCGAATAACCATAAGGTTAGATTGGTAACCGAATTTCCATTGCTTTGTGCGTTGGTATGCCAGCTGATCTGAGATCGATTGCCAATGATGAATGCTATCATCTCCTTCGCTCTATGTCTCTCTCTCTCTCTCTGTGTTTCCTCTCTGTTTTGTTATTCTTAGTCTAGACCAACGATCCAGTATCAAAGAGCAACAACCTAATGGATACGCAAACTCCTATACGGTGGTATTTCAGTGCCTATAAGTGAGGTATCCTATCTTAGTTATTGAGTAGATTAATTTCCTGATTACTCTACAAACATTGAGTTATTACCACTCTTGTTCCCAATATTCTTCTATTCTTTCTCTAAAGTCTTCACCTTCATCCTCTATTTCTCTTTATCTATCCACTATTCTATTCTCTTCCCTATATTTTCTCTGTTTCTCTAAGAGTAGTGGCCAACGAGCAGAGGATATTAAGTCAATATACAAGACAGAATCGAACTAGGTGATGCAGAAGAAGTGATTTAAATGTTCACTCTGGGTATTGGAGTTAGATTGTATAACCTGGTGTTCTTTGATTTTGTGAATTTACAATTAGCATTCATGAAGGATGAGCAAGTTGTGGTCGTCCGAGCATTCCTAGGAGCCACCATAAAATACCTCTCAAAGAAGGGATTATTAAATTGTTGGATCTAATAGCTGGAATGGTCAAAAACCACATACAGGATTGAACAGACGTTGATACTTAACATATCACTCACCATGTCCGCTGGTTGGAATTCCATTGTGTTCAATACAAACTCCTTGGGTTGCATTGTTGAAGTATTGCTATATCTTGGGAATATCAACGTCATATGACTTTCATAATTGCTTGAAGGAACAAGTTTTCATAGAAATCCTTGGATGATTAGTGGTAGCATTCTCGACATTTTGGTCTATATAAACTATGTTACACTCAAAATAGCACAGCCTTTGTAACTGCTTTAGATTAAAAAGATCAGTAACTGTTATTGCTTTGATGCATGTCGTTATTGTTCTACCTGATGGCACATTTTACCAATTGAAGCGTAGATGGGTCTTCTAAACAATTGGTTCTATTGTAGATCTTTCATATTACGGGACTTGCTGAGTAGGCAGTGAGATGTCACAGAGGCATCTGAAAGTTGAAATGTTACTGGTTTGTGTTTGAACATGTGTTCTGAAAATTTTGGGTAGTGCCTTGATTGTCTGTGTTTTGTGGACCCTGTTTACTGCCTTCGGTGTATATGGAAATGTAAGATAGTCACTTTCATTCGGTTGTACCAAATTATTCTTATTTATGGAAGCATTTTGATGAATTATGAGGTGTAAAAACTAAATAAAAATTCAGCCAAAATAAATTTGCCCCAAGATATTAAAAAACAATCACACAAAGACATCAAATTTTTTAACGTGAAAAATCCATTCAATATGAAGGATAAAAATCACGAGACCTCTCCTAAGTCAAGTTAAAAAAAAAATATTATAAAAATTAGTTAAACAACCACTATTTTCAAACAAATATTCAACGACAAATCAACCAAATAATAAGAAATAAACAAGAGAATGGAGAAATATCACCAAAGCAGCTACTATTCATGTGAAACGGATGTGTTCTCGACCATTCAGATTAAAGAACAACTTATCCCGAATATGTTCACCAAATTTCAACCTCATCAGGCTACCAATGATCATCCGATCGTCAGAGAAAGTCAAACTGGTCGATGCAAGGAAGAAAAACGTAAACAGTAACTTCAAACTAAAAGTACTGAAAATCTAAATGTCGAAAATCGATCTCCACAATTTAAAACAAAGAACAATGAGTATTTTAAATACCCACCAAATTTCAGTATGATCTATATAAATATCACCGTTTGATTGTGAAAAGAAGCAAAACACGTTGGATGTAATTTTTCAACAAAAATTCCCTTTTTGTTTACTTTTTTTTTTGTGACCAAAAATTTGTTTTTATATTATTCCTTAGAGTTGAAGTAGTATACAAAAAGAAAAAAAACTCTATAACTTTAATGGGCCAAAAAATAGTGAATTCAAAACTA